TAAAATTTTTAAATTTTAAAAATTAGATTAAATCAAGTAGATCTATAAACGTATGAAAATTTTGAAAATGGACGGTGTAGATAATATGTTGTAAAATGGACTACTTCTAAGACTTAAAATCTTTTTATTTTTCATGGTCATACATCTCGATGTCGAGATGATCAATCATAGGGTTTTTCAGCATTAAAATTATCTTTTTTGATGGATTTTTAGGTGCATCTGCAGTTCTACATTAGAAGGTTGCATCCTTATATAAACTTTTTTTTTAAAAAAATGGTACTGATCTTGTGGACATGTTAATAATTTTTTTTAGGGTGAAATGGATAATCTAGATGATTTGGTGCAATATACAAAACTTGATATCCCAATTTTTTTCACAATAATAATGTTCAAGCTGAGATGAATAATTTAAAAGTTTTCCGACACTAGAATTACAATTTTTGATGAACTTTATTGTGAGGCTTTACTTATTTTGATAGGGCTGCAGCCCTATCAAACGATATTCCTTTTGAAAATGGGTCTTTACCTCAAATTTTTCTCTCTCCGCGTTTGTGGCTTCTAGAGGGAGAAAATATGCAAAGGAAGTGAAGGATAGGCGTGCGGTTTGTATAGAGCCAAGATTCTAAACAATCAAAGTAGAGCACACCTTCATATAGTGTCGAGAAATGTGATTTCAATACTGAAAATCTTTGTGATATCTTTAAAATATATTTTTATCTCTAATTATAAAATTTAAAGCTTAAAAAATAACCGATCGAGAAGATCTATGAAAATCTTGGAAATTGATAGTACAAAAATACATTACAAGATGCACTATTTCCGAAATTTGAAATTCATTTTTTCTCATGTCTATAAATTTTAATGTCCAGATGATCAATTTGAGGATATTTTAGCATCAAAACAATATCTTTTAATGAAATTTTTGAGGTGCACACTAATATGACTGTTTAGAGCCTCTCCTCTATGTAAACATTTTCGATGATTTTTTTGGTGCCACAATAGAGAGAGAGAGAGTTTTGAATTTGGTGGCTAATATAAATTTGGGAGGAGAGTATGATTTGATGATGTAAAGAGAGAGAGTTTTGATGGCCTGAAGTATTTTTGGGAGAAGAGTGTGATTCATGATTTTGTGAGAGACGGAGAGAGTTGATGTGGTGGTGGTGGTGGAGATAGAGAGCGGAGGGGAGATTTAATATGTCATGATGTAAAGAGATGGAGGGAGAGATTGACGTCATGATGGATTTGATAATTGGGTTGGGTGGGTGCAGTACAGGAGGATGTTCAATCCCACATCTAAGTCACTGAAAATCACATACTACTTTATAACACTAAGGTTATGCTCTGAAAGTTGTTTTTTTGAATATATCTGATAAAATTGGAATGATATGGAAAAGATTAACACGGCCCTTGCACAACGATGGCACACTCGATAAATGGTCTAAATCGTTTTTTTTTTTTATTGCACTTTTGCCTATTTTTCGATAGAGAAAGGTTAACAAATTTTTTTTTTTTTC